TTGTTTTAGCCAAAGCCCATGCCTTCTTCCCCTTGGAGCATACTTATGATAAAAGAGTCTATGGTATCAATGAACACTGAATTTGACTACTTGAGCTCTGAAACTAAGGCATAGTGGTCAAAGCAATAGCATTAGCCATTTCTACTGATGTGTCCAAACCAAATAGAACAATCTCAAATATTTCGAGGCTTTTGCCAAGTAGATTAAACAAAACTTGAAATATATGTGTTTAACTGTACTCATCTCCTAAATGATTTTACAAAACATTGTGCGACATTCTTTTTGGGGAATACTGCATGGCTATGTAAGCTCTCTTGACCAACTGCAATAAAACAGTGATAAACTTCACTTTTAATTGCCATGATAATTGGATCTTGTATTGAATTGGGTTTTCAATATTTGATTGTATCTTATCACTTGTTAGGCTGAATCCAGGCATGGAGAGATATTGGGTAATCTTCTCTATGCAGCCAAATTAGTGGCAGAGAAAGAAGGTATCCTTGATGGATTTCGTGTTGTTATCAACAATGGTCCGACTGCATGTAAGTTACGATCACATTATCTTCAATTTCTCTCATTCCCCCCCCCCCCTCTCTCTCTCTCTCATGCATGCAGACACTCAAACACACACAGCGCCCTGTTTGATTATCTAGGATTGGGGGAGAAGTCTTATTATACATCAATTCAACCAGTCAAAGATTCAATTTTTTGCTGTATTTTTGGCTATCATAGACTTCAATGGACTGACCAATACATAACTGTATTTGCTCTCTCTCTCTAGGTCAATCTGTGTACCATCTCCACTTGCATGTTCTTGGTGGGAGGGAGATGAAATGGCCGCCTGGTTAAAGATCAGGTACATATGCAGGACATTTTTTTCTTTCTTTTCCCTTTTTCATGTTTCTTCATATTCCCATCTGTCCATTTTTATCTCGGGATCTTTTGTTCCAATGATTGAACTACCGTTGCTACCATAGAAAGATCGATGAATTTTCTGGGCATGTACTTGCAAATGAGGACTGTTTTGTTCAAATTTAAACTCTAGTTTATAATGTTGGCTGATTTGTACTCATCTATAAGATTTGTTTCCTAGAAGCATGCTAAACCAAATGTATTAAAACCGCATACATTAAAGATATAGTGTTCATAGGAGTCAGATTCTCCGATATATTTTTTCTTCATTTTCCTTCTTGGTAGATCAGCCGCCAAGTTAATATTGAGGGACTCACATATGTACAATGGGTCCCAGTCGGATTCATGTACTAGTTTACTGTGCCAGGCTTTTTGCAGTTGTGTTTTCTGACATAAAATGCTTGCTGCAGCAAATTGTTTCCTTAAACTGCCCAGGGACAAAAGGGCACACATTTTGCTCTTATTTATCCAGTAATAGATCCGATGACTGAAATGGAGATTCTTTGCCAAGGTATGGTGACCTTTAGGATACACTGTGCCCTTGAAGTTTCTATCAGTCTTCACAAAATTCAACTCAAGATAGCCTTATCCCAGTGATTTGGGGTTGGCTAAAATTCGGAAGCTATCATATTTTTTTTTTTACTATCTAATTAGAAGTTTATTTTGGTATTGTATATGTTTTAAAAGAGCTGTATTTTGGTAAATAATTTTGAGTCTTTCCACACAGTGAGATGCCTAGGTCTAGACTAAGCTATGAAGGTTAAAGAAGACAAGGAAAACTATTCATAGATAAGTGAGGCAGAATATCTTCTCTCAAAAAGAGAGGGAGTTGATTACGGTACCAAAAAAAATTTCAATATTATATTTTTATTTATCACATTTGTGGTTGTTTTTATTATATTTATGAGTGTTTTTATCACTGTTGTGGTACCCAACAAAATAGTAAAAATAGTTTTCAAAATAGTCATCTTTCCCTGTCGCCACCAATGAGGATAGTCTCCAACTCATTTTGTAGTATAATAGGTATCGCCTTAACCATCGACTTCTTGTCCCTTCTTTTATTTATGGAGTTTTTCATTGCAAATTTTGTAGTTAATACGATTTACCGAAGAACCATTTCTTTCTCTTTTCCTCTCACAATGGGTTTAGCTATGCTATTGGCGTCTTGCTCGGCACAAAGACGTAGAGTAGTGTTACTCATATTTAAAAAATTAGTCTAATTTGTTGACATAATGATATATCAAGTGATCAAGTCTCAATGAAAAAGTTTAACAGTTACGGTCATAATAATTTTATTATATTGACACATTATTAAGTAAGCAAAGAATAATGTTATTGAAATTTGAAAAATTAACGTAATTTATTGATATAATGATGTTGTAGTGACAGTTCAACAGAATATTATTATTTGTTACATTATTATGTTGATAAATTAAATCAATTTTTTTGGGCTTCAATAGTATTACTCATTTGTTAGACCCCAATTTGCTTTCCCAACTAGCTACAAGACCATGTTTGTTAACCATTATTTTAGGCAATTCATAGAGTTTAGCTTTATAAATAGGTCAAGTAACGAACTGTTTTTAAGAAGCTGATCAGGAGGTGACTTTTAAATGAACTGCATTTAAGAAGCAATTTTATTTTTCAAAAAACGAAAAATTTAGGTAGCTGCTAATGAGTTTTTATTTGGTAAGGAAAAGTATTGTTTTTTGCTGTTAACAGGGTTTGATTTAGAAAAATCATTAAAAGGAGCAATTTTATCAGAATTGAACCGGTCATTGAACTGGTAAGGGGACTGAGTCAATGGTTCAACCGGTAGGTCAATTAGTCGGACTAATCATATAATAAAAAAATAAAAAATATATATACAATAAATATAAAACATAATAATTTAGCTAGAAAATATAAAATATGCCTAAAATGTATATAATTTGTCATAAAATTAATGAAGTTAAGTTAAAAAAACACATGTGCCAAATATCAAAGTTCAACTTTAAAACTCCAAACTACTAACACAGTCACATTAATTTCTTAAAAATTAACAAACTACCCATATAAAGTAGTAATCATAGAGTAAATCGTATTAGGACACTTACTAAATAAAATCAGAACAAAAGATAAATATAAACAAGTTTAATGACACTCTGTAACCTAAAATATTTTTAAATTTTTACTTTACAAATTTTTTAAGTTCAACGTTAATGGTCTCCACCTTTAAAAGAGTGGATCCACTAAACCCTTCTGCCTTCTCCATCTGGCTCAAGAATGAGGCTCAGAGATATGGGATGTTTCTGAGGGTGGTTTCCCCTCTCTGGAAGCCATTGATTTCACCAACCACAAAATCAACAGCCCTCCACCATTCGAACAACAACTAAAAAATCAACACCTCTCTCTCTCTCTCTCTCTATATATATATATATATATATATATATATATATATATATGAGTGTGTGTGTGTATGTGTATCAGCAATCAACTTCCCAGGTGGGTGATGGGTTAAATCCCTTGGATTTCTTTCTCTTTGCTTTGTTGTTGTTGCTGGTTACTTACCCAAAAATAAAAACGTTATTGGTTGCTGCCTCAACAGCAGGGGAGGCCACTGTCTCATTGATCTTCCTCATTGAGAGCGGGTGGCAGGACAAGGAGCTGACCTCATTGATCTTCCTCCGGAGCTTCGGCGGCGACCCAGCAAAGACCGAGTTGAAGATGAATNTTGCTGGTTACTTGCCCAAAAAAAAAAATACGTTATTGGTTGCTGCCTCAACAGCAGGGGAGGCCACTGTCTCATTGATCTTCCTCNCTGGTTACTTACCCAAAAATAAAAACGTTATTGGTTGCTGCCTCAACAGCAGGGGAGGCCACTGTCTCATTGATCTTCCTCNAATTCGGCTTTCTAATAGTGAAACAACTTCGTTTCAGAGTTAATTTTTTTAAAGCCTAGACAATGAAACAACATCATTCCACAATAGGTCATTTCATTGTCTAGGGTATATAAAATGAAGTCCTTGCCCTACTATGTTTGGTTGATCGCAGAGACACATCTCTTGTCTTGGACCTTATAGTCTATTTATTTGTGTGNGTTAATCTTCCTCCGGAGCTTCGGCGGTGACCCAGCAAAGACCAAGTTGAAGATGAATAGGCAGCGATTTGAAGAAGAAAGGCTGGAATTTAGGGCAAAAATGCTCAAAATAGATTTTTTTTTTTTAACAATTGCAATCCAACCCCGTCTGGTTTGAACAAACTATCCCGTTCACCAGATTCAGCAAAAACCAGCTGGTTTAACGGTTAACATCCGGTTCACTTGCCTAAGCGATTCAACTCAAGAACTGGACCGATCTATGCCCTAGTTCACGGTCCAACTGATCCGGTTCTAATAAGAGGATCTTGCTCAAAGAGTTTTTGAAAACAATTTTTTTATGTTTGCATTTTTTGTCCTTTTTTTCAAAACAGAGTAACAAAAAAAATGAAAACATTCACCGACACGTCTAAAAAAAAAAAATACAAAAACACTGTTACAGCACTCTATCGTTGACAAACATGATGCAGCTGATGATAATAGAATTGTTAACCCACAAATCCGTACACCCCCAAAAAAAAACAATCAACACCAAAAAAATAAAAAAAATGCAGAACACCAAGAAGAGGGGTCCTCAGATTACACACTTAAAGACACAAGCCAACTGAATTTAATTCCTTGCATCTTTTATACTATGATATACACAATCCAAGTACAATTACAACAGGAAATCATACTTCCAACTTCTATGACTATCAATGTATCAAATATGAGTACACTAGTCAAAAAAATTAACTAAAAACAAAAAGCATTAAAAAAACATCCTTATTACATGATGAACTGAAATTGTTACCCCATCTCTACTGAGAATAATGAACAAAATGTAGATGGCAGGATACAAGCCATGTTTCTAGCCATAATAAACTGTTGATGCCGCCTGATTACCCGACCAATGCCAACAAATGAAAGGTTCTCTTGACAAAGTATAGAGGATAACTTTATGATTTTTCTGATGGGAGTAGAACCAAATGTTGAATGTTGCACTATTACAGACATAAAAAAGAAGGCACAATTATAAAGTGGTGTGGATCCCTGACTGGTTCGAACAGAGACAAGAACAGTCTGGTTCAGTCAAGTCTCTCTTCACAAGTCGTTTGTCACGATTCATAATCAATTTAATATGGGGAAGTTTCAAAGATACTTGGCGCCAGATTTCATGCACAGTTCCGTTAGGATCCTCATACTCGAAGTACCGTTTCACCTGAATCACAATAAAAAACCAAATTGAGCTGCGAAACAAGAGACAAGATAGAAAGATACTGACAACAATCTGGTATAAAGCTGTTTCCATATATAGTGCAGAATTGGTAAATATATTCAGGATCAAGATTTTCAAAACGTGTATCTGAAGGTATATCGTTTTTCAAAAATAATGTAAAAACAGAGAAAAATATCTTGTGTGTATCATCTTTTCAAGGTATACAGAGTTTTTCCATAGACTCATAACGCAAAATATGTATCGTAAAATACATATCATAAGATTCTAACAATTATGCTCAAACAAATATATTACATTGTAGCTATTTGAAAAGGTAGATATAATTCAACTCAACAAAGCCTTTGTCCAACTATATAGAGTCGGCTATAAGAATCTTGTTTGTTTACTATGCTCTAGGGTTACATGCGAAAAAAGAGTGAAGTGGTGTGGATTATGCTAAAACCACCTAAGTCGAGCGTNGTCAACAAAGCCTTATTCCAACTATATAGAGTCGGCTATAAGAATCTTGTTTGTTTACTATGTTCTAGGGTTACATGCGAAAAAAGAGTGAAGTGGTGTGGATTATGCTAAAACCACCTANCTCAACAAAGCCTTTGTCCAACTATATAGAGTCGGCTATAAGAATCTTGTTTGTTTACTATGCTCTAGGGTTACATGCGAAAAAAGAGTGAAGTGGTGTGGATTATGCTAAAACCACCTAAGTCGAGCGTTAATTTATCTCTTATTGATGTTATTCTTACAATTTCATCACTGATAACAATATATTGAGAATATTGAGAGAGAGAGAGAGAGAGAGAGATAGATGTAATTGAATAGGAAGAGAAAAACCAACATCAATTGATTACAGAGTGTTACATNCATATTGAGAATATTGAGAGAGAGAGAGAGAGAGAGAGATGTAATTGAATAGGAAGAGAAAAACCAACATCAATTGATTACAGAGTGTTACAAAGTAACACATACAGAATAGGGTGATGATCCTATTAACCCTAACTCACTAACACTCCCCCCCAAACTGGACTAAAGATATCAAATAGTCCTAACTTGGAACAAAGAATACCAATTTTATCTCTACTAAGTGACTTGGTGAAAATATCTGCCACGTAATCTACAGACCGTACAAAACACATAGTAATCTTCTTAGACTGAAGCTTCTCATGAACAAAGTGACAATCAATTTCAATATGTTTTGTTCGTTCATGAAAAACTGAATTCGAAACAATATGAATTGCAGCTTGATTATCACAAAATAATTGCATTGGAAAGGTTATTGGAATATCAATCTCATGTAATAAATTCTTTAGTCATATCAATTTACACGTAGTCTGAGCCATTTACCCTATATTTTGCCTCGACACTAGATTGGGCCACAATACTCTGTTTCTTACTTTTACAAGTCACCAAATTCCCTCCAATGAATATACAATATTTTGTTGTAGATCATCTATCTGATGGGGAACTAGCCCAATCCGCATAAATAAAATTGACTGCTTGTAAATTTCCATAAGCTCTATATAATAATCCTTGACTAGGAGCCTTTTTCAAATATCTGAAAATTCTAATCATGGCATCTGAATGAGGTACTCTTAGAAATTCTATAAATTGACTTACAATACTAACCACAAAAGAGATATATGGCCTTGTAATAGTCAAGTAATTCAACTTCTCCATTGGTCGTCTATACCTTTCCAGATGTTTAAATAACTCCCCATGTTCTCTGGTCAGTCTTGTATTAGATTTCATGGGAGTATCAACTGGTTTTGTTCCTATAAGTTCTGTTTCAGCAATCCAATACATACTTGTGCTAAAACCAACAGAGACTATTCTCCTACCAGTATTGTATATGGGTCCCTCCTGCTAGTCTTGAGACAAGTTTCAACACAAATTGGACCATAAATTACTAAAGTAATTATAGATGGGTAGGCATTGTAGGTAAAAATCACTGTGGCAAGCTACTTGGATCAGTAGCCAATAGATTTAAAGAATCTTAGATCAAACTTTGATGAAAGCTTTGACCAATGGTGATGCAGTGATGCTGGTGACTGCTGAGGAATTGTGAATCATTCTGGAAATAGCATGGCTTATGAAATAGCCAGAGAAACCCCAAGGTAAGCGACTGGTGGTTGAGGTTGCCATTAACATTGAAGTACAAAGTCAGAAATCAGCAAGATGTTTGATAGTTAGCCGGCAACTCTAGGCAAGGATCACCATTTTGGGTTTTAGTGTGTTGCTTTGATTGGGTGAGAAATGGAAATTTGTAAGAAGCACAACAATCATTGAACAATTTGGAAATTGATTCAGATGTTAGCCATTTATACACTTACGGACATTGATAGTTGAACATGCATGAAATCCATGTTTCAAACTTCAGTATTATAGAATTTAAAGTATATGTTCACAACGATCTTATAACATTAAAGAATTCATAAATTTTAAATACTAATTTTATGTGATTCTTGAGGTCAGTGAAATCCCAACCGTGTAAGATCTACAAAATTTGAAGTTAAAAATTTATAACACTACTTAGTAAAAAAGTTGCTTAAAGGGGTCTTTGGGTTTTTCTATTGCAAGGTGGCTCATTTAATAACCAAAGGTTTGTAAAATTAAGATTTAAACGGAAACCAAAATTTAAGCCAATGAGAAAAGCAATAAAAAATGGTTTGCATAGTTGTGTGGAGGAAATATTCATTTTTCAGTTGGTTATCTATGTTGTTGAAACTTAGAGTGTTCTAATACATTACTTTATCATGTATCGCTTGTGAGATTGGTATTTAAACAAAAATATGACTTTTTGTTGCATTGACAAGCTATCTTTGTGTAGAAGCTTATGGCGTTTATACTTCTAAAGCATGGCCTCCAAATTTTGTTATTAGCAAAAGAATCTTGTTATATTTTTGTTGACATTGGACTAGCCAAATTTGTCTAGGGTAATGTAGCGGATGATATTACCTGGTATGCGATCTGTTATGCTTTATAGTACTAGGTGTTGGGCAACTAAGAAGTAACATGTTCAAAAATTGAGTGCGGTGAAAATGAGAATGTTAAGATATCTATTTGGTAAAACTAGGAAGGATAGAATTAAAAATGAATATATTTATGAAAAAATAGATGTAATAAATATAGGAGATAAATTAAGGGGGTTCGCACCCCAACCAAAAGCTGCCTTTGCTAACCTTGCCTTATAGGAACTAACGCACTCAAAAGAGAAGGTCCTTTCCTGTCCAGTATTTTCAATCCAACCCGAAATAGAAAAAGCCGCAAGCAACACTAGGCCCGGTCGTCGGTTTAACGTCAGTACGTTCCGATATTCGTTCGTTTAGATGGTTTGGATATACTTATAGATGTCCTATTATGACACTAGTGAAAAAGAGTGATATGATAGCTATTGACTGTAAGCATAAGGGTAGAGAAAGACAAAATTAACTTTAAATGAAATAGGAAAAAAAGAAATGATAAGTGAAGGTTTAATAGAAAATATGACTATTAATAAAGCGCAATGGAGAAATATGATTCATGTAGCTGACTCCAAAGATATTGAAACAATATTTTGTTGAGTTATTGAGTTGTTGAGAGTAGTGTAGTGGATGATTCACGTGTCAAATGTTTTGAATATCTCTCTTTGTGAGAGTTCCTTCCTTTATATAGAAACTATAGGGCTAATTACAAGGCAAGTAACTAACCAAAATAAAGTCCTATCAATTACACGTATGTCTACTGCTAATGTACAATATACTTTCTATACATAGCTAGACTAAATAAGGTAGAATCAAGGATTGAAATTTCGTTTCGAAGTACCGTTTCGGTCAGCCAAAAAACGGAAACGTTTCGGAAACGCAGTGAAAATGCGGAAAAAATATGGAAACGCGTGGAAACACAAATACAATCCATTAATCTATAAAGATAAGCTAATTAATTGATTAATTTAACATATTTATTGGGTTAACATCTATTTATACAAGAATAAATTTAAATTGGAGGGAAAAAAATGCTTGACATTAGGCGAAAATCACTTAAATTAGTTTCAAACACTTAATTTTTATCAAATAAATACATTTTTACATAATATTAAGTTCTCATAATACACATGAAATGTTAATGAGTACATACTTACATGGCTACATCCATCCCCTTGTGGAGTGTCGAGCAGACTCATACATCGATGTAGGCCCTGGATAGCTACTTAGAGAAACTCCATATGTGATATAAATATGATGACAATAATTACTCCAACTCATATTGTTACGATAATATGAATTATATTCTCTCCCAAACCTCTGATAGTCTGCAACACTATATCCAATCTATTGGGGAACGAATGCACCAGTCTTTGGCCAACCTTCATCTTGTCTATATGAGGAGAATGACTGGGAGTCATAGCCAGATCCATAACCATATGTTGAGGATCCATATTTGTATCATCGTGTGTCATATCATGATTCATAATCATATGAAGACGACGAACCATAATTATGGTATTCACTTCTACTTCCACTTCCACTTATACTCATAGTAGAAAAACCATCATTAATCATATCAGCTCTTTGCCTAAGAGCACCTATACCATGTGGAGTGATTGGATTTTGAGTGCGTTCACATTGACGATCTCGAGTTGATTTTGAGCGTCGTTCATATTGAAGCATTCGTCGAGAGCCATGATCTTCATCTTTTGTAGCATGTTTAAATCCTTCCTCTATAGTGAATACAATTCCATGTGGACTTTGGCTTCTTGTATTTCCATCACCACCACCTCCATCGCTTCTATGTCCATGACTATCACCACCTCCGCTATCACTATCTCCACTACCACCACCACCACTATCTTCATCATCATCTTCACCACCATCATCATTACTACCATCACTATTATGATCATCCTCAGTACTACTAGTGACAGTGATGGGTTGCTTACGTCTTGGTGGATATCTCATTAGTCTGTCAAACTCTTCATCTTCCATTGCTTTACTTGATCCTCCTTTGCTTATTTTGGATCTTGATTTTCGTGGTGGCACAACACCTTTACTTAGGCCTATTCCTCCATCGTCATAAAAAAAACGATTTGTCCACGTCGCTAGGAAAGTGTTTGGTCTTGTTGATTGCCCATCATCATCAAGTTCATCTAAAAGTGCATCACCAGGATCATTTAGCCACTCTGAAATACCTTCATCTTCCTCAAAAACAATGGTTAAGTCTATAGGTCTGAATTCATACCCTTTTCTGTTCTTCATAAGGTGCTTTAACTTCAACCTCATGTTATATTGTGTAAACACCAGCCTTTCTAACTTTTGATAATTGAGTCTATTCCCCACTTTAGTATGTATGAGAGCAAATGTACTCTAGTTTCTCTCACAACCACTAGATGAAGCTGTTTGCGACAATATTCTTATAACAATCTTTCTCAAATTTCGAGCATCAGTGCCATACATAAACCACTATTCAGCTGCATAATAATAAAGAATATATTAAAATCTTAAAAGAAAAATATAAATAGAAAATCATGAGAACAAAATATAAGTGCGTAAATAATCTACTTAATTACCTGGATCACTTTTTGTTCTTCCTCTAATTGCAGCTTGGTCAGCAAAACAATACATGGCCTCTCGAAATATTTTTACCTAAATATCATGGATATGTTGATGTTATACATTAATTTAGGACATTTGTAAACTGAGATTGAAATACGAAAGTATTACTTCTGTAAGTGCTTCAGCAGCCTTGTTTGGATTTGTCTCTAGTCTAGACACAACGATCCGAAGCGAACCCAAGAAATCTTCTAACACACCAACATCTTCTTCATAATAGTATGTGGGGTTCAAGTAATAAGCTACACAATATAAATAATAATAACACTAATAAATGATAACATCCAAAATAATAACAGTTATCAATAATAAAAATATAAATTAGTAAACAATAAGTTTACATGCCCTATGAATATGTTGAATGATTTATTTTTTTCATCGAGCATCAATGATGTCAAGATATTTTTTGTACGATTTAGGAGCTGCGTCTTTGACAGCTTGTCTTGATCGTTTCATTGCTTCATATACATATAGCATTGTTGCTTTTCTTTTCTCATCCACCATTCTTAGAACTTTTGTAATAGGTGTATGCATATTCAACACATTTTTGGCGGTCTCCCAAAATTTAGGATTCAGAATTGTCCCTTGAATTCGCTTTCCAATTGAATCCTTTGCTACCGTAGTTTTAGACCAATCTTCTGAAGTAAACATCCTTTGCAAACCATTTCTCTGCTCCAAAATACTTTGTAGGGCAATATAATTAGTGGCAAATCTTGTTTGCGCTGACCGAATCAATTCTCCCGAACAAAATGTTCTCATTATATCCAAAACTCTATTATGATTATAGATATAATTGGTCACTCTTTTAGCTTGCTCTAGCACATTTTGAACCGTTTCAATCTTGGAAAATTCATGCAAAATCAAATCCAGAAAGTGGGCAGCACAAGGAGTCCAATATAAGTGTGGTCTTCTTTCCATTAATATTTCACTCGCTTTTTTGTACGCATTGTCATTATCTGTAATAATCTGAACCACATATTTTTCTCCAATCTCCTTAACAACAGCATCCGTCAACCNTAACTTCAACCTCATGTTATATTGTGTAAACACCAGCCTTTCTAACTTTTGATAATTGAGTCGATTCCCCACTTTAGTATGTATGAGAGCAAATGTGCTCTAGTTTCTCTCACAACCATTAGATGAAGCTGTTTGCGACAATATTCTTATAACAATCTTTCTCAAATTTCGAGCATCAGTGCCATACATAAACAACTATTTAGCTGTATAATAATAAAGAACATATTAAAATCTTAAAAGAAAAATATAAATAGAAAATTATGAGAACAAAATATAAGTGCGTAAATAATCTACTTAATTACCTGTATCACTTTTTGTTCTTCCTCTAATTGCAGCTTGGTCAGCAAAACAATACATGACCTCTCGAAATATTTTTACCTAAATATCATGGATATGTTGATGTTATACATTAATTTAGGACATTTGTAAACTGAGATTGAAATACGAAAGTATTACTTCTGTAAGTGCTTCAGCAGCCTTGTTTGGATTTGTCTCTAGTCTAGACACAACGATCCGAAGCGAACCCAAGAAATCTTCTAA